TGAGGCTAGGTTCTGGGTAGAGTTGAGGCCTTTCAAGAGACAGTAGCTTTTCCCAGGGGCTAGTTTGTGAAAAACTCACAGAGCCCAGCCTGGAGCTTCTCAGGGTTTCTGTTTACTGAATTTCAATTGATTGTTGAGGCTGCTAGAGGGAGGGGCAGCCTCTGGCTCTGATTACCCAGTGAAGAAACCCACTCCTTGGGCTGGCACCCAAGCTGGGTGACTTTTCCCTGGGTGGAGCTGAGTCTGGCAGGTCACGCTGCCATTAAGTTCTTGTGACCTGCTAAATGACGCCTTTTATTCCAAGGCCTGAGTTGGAGCTAGCAGCTCCTCCAAGCTTTGTGGGTATCCAAGATGGAGATCTCCGGTACTGGGGGTGGGGGGGGAGGGTTGGCCTTCCCTCCTCTGCTCCCTGAGAAGGAGTGAGGACGTCAGGCTTCTACTCACACCGAGTCTTGGTTCCTGGGTCGTCTCTGGTCTGCGAACTGCAGGATGAAGATGTCCGCTCCTTGTAGGTTCTTGCTGGTGTTGAGTAGAATCCGCTCGCCTGCTGCATCTGGCTCCTTCATCCCGGACTCTCTGTGGCTCAGGTATGGCTCCTGCGCTCGCTGCCGCCGCCACCGCTGCCACGACCGCATATTCTGCTCAATCTTATCCACTCTATCACTCTCCCTTCCCCCCTTTGATCCGTATCTTAGGTGGCAGGCCTGCAGAGCAGCTTAGTTCAGTGTAGTCACTAAGTGGTCATAATGTATTATGTCACAAAGGCCTCCACACTATAAAGCCAGGGTCTCTTAGGAGTAAGGTTAATTTCCCCTGAGGGTAAGCAGTGGGCAGAAGGGTTTTTGTAGTGGTGGTGTTTTAAACTGTCCCAAATTTGGGGAGGGGGAGAGGGTGAGGGGGGTTGGAGGAAGGCGGGGGTTGTTCATTTGGTTTTGGTTTTGGACGGTTGTGGGACTTTGACTCTGGGCCTGGGCGCTGTCCCTTCAGCCTACTGAGTAGCTAGGATTGCAGGTGTGAGCCACCGGCATCTGGCTCCAAATAATGTTTTTATAGTGCTTAATTCTTTCTTTGGAAAGTTAGTTTGTATCCACGGCAAAAATATTCATCAATATTTTCTTCTTCAGGTATTGTAACTAAGGACTGATTTACAACTAGTGCCACCCTGAAATAGATGTAGACAAGACCTGAAGCTCAGAGGGAGATCAGACATCAAATTTGAACCTGAAACGTAGGTACTATGATTGGGATTTACCTTATTCTGTATTTTAAGCTCATTTTGTTGTTTTTACTTTTTTTGTTTTCTAGAATATTATTTATTTATTTGTGTGTGTGTGTGTGTGTGTGTGTGTGTGTGTGTGGTCAGTTACGGGCCTGGGCGCTGTCTCTCAGCTCTTTAGCTCAGGGCTAGGGCTCTACCACTTGAGCCACAGCACCACTTCTGGCTTTTTTTTCTGTTTATGTGCTGCTGAGGAATCGAACCCAGGGCCTCATACATGCAAAGCAAGCACTCTACCACTGAGCCACCTTCCCAGCCCCCTAGAATAATGTTTTAATTATAGAAAATGATGGATTTTAATTATATTTTCATACACGTATATAATGTTTTTTTATTATATTCACGTCCCCTTGCTCTCTCTTCTCCCCCTTCTACTCCCCTACGGGCCTCCTTACCTTCCCAAATAGTCCTCCTCCTACTTTTATGTCTTTTCTTTTTAAATCAAAATGTGATAATTCTTTGAATCTGTTTTTGTTGTTATTTGTTGGTGATACTGTGATTTGAACTCAGTGCCTAAAACTCGCTAGGCTTGCTTGCTTGATGCTTTTACCACTTGAGCCTTTCCTCCAACCTGGCTTTTTGCTGATTATTTTAGAGATGGAGTCTTGTGGACTTTTCTAACTAGTGTAGCTTCGAGCTATGATTCTCTGGATTTCAGTCTCCTGAATAGCCAGGATAACAGATATGTGCCATCTGCAACCATAACTGTATCTTTTATTTGAATTTCCTTTATAACTAAAGATGTTGAAGATTTTTCATTTATTTATTAGAATTGGCTTATTTTTAAAATATGTTTTTATTGTGAAAATACAGAGGGGTTACAATTACATGGATGAGATAATGAGTACATTTCTTATCAAGCATTGTAGCCTCCTGCTTTGTTTCCCCTTCCCATCCCTTCCCATCCTCCCCCCCTCCGTCCCCCCCACCAAAGTTGTAAAGTTCATTTTTCGACATAACGACTTGTATATCTCATTGTTGCAATGGGTCCTTCTGTATCCCTGTTTTAACAATTTGTTTTTTCCCTTCCCCTCCACATATAGAATTGGCTTATTTTTAAAGGCAGATATTCTTTTTGTGCTGTTGCTGGGGCTTGAATGCAGGGTCTGGGTACACTATCCCTTAGCTTTTGCACTCAAGTCTGGCACTCTGCCTCTTGAGCCACTGACCTACAGTTTTTTGGTGCTTAATTGGAAATATAAGTTTCACAGACTTTCCTGCCCAGTCTGACTTCAAACTGCTCATATCTTAGCCTCTTGAATAACTAGAATAACAGGCATGAACCACTGGTGCCTGACTAAAATCAGGTCTTTGACTAGACACTGTTAATTATTTGGGTAAGTCCTATGTGCACATATTCGTGTGTGTGTGTGTGTGTGTGTGTGTGTGTGTTGGTCATGGGGCTTGAACTCTGGGCCTATGCGCTGTCCCTCAGCTCTTCAGCTCAAGGCTGGTGCTCTACCACTTGAGCCACAGCATCACTTCCGGTTCTCCTGTGGTTTATTAGAGATAAGAATCTCACGGGCTTTCCTGCCCAGGTTGGCTTTGAAGCACAGGCATGAGCCACCAGTGCCCAGCTGCACATATTCTTTTTTTTTTTTTTTTTGGTCCGGTTGTGGGGCCTGAACTCTGGGCCTGGGCACTGTCCCTCAGCTCTTCAGCTCAAAGCTAGCGCTCTACCACTTCAGCCACAGTGCCACTTCCGGCTTTTTTTCTTTTTGCTTTTGTGGTGCTGAGGAATCGAACCCAGGGCCTTGAGCATGCAAGGCAAGTGCTCTACCACTGAGCCACCTTCCCAGCCCCCAGCTGCACATATTCTTAATAGCCATCACTGTTACGATAATCTTGAGAATCTTCCTTGTATAATTACAATGATCAAACTATTTAAGTTCCACTACCCTTCAACTCAGTTTAGGTTAAAGTTGCTATGTAAAAATAGCTGAATGGCTTGGTTTTTGAGAAGTATGATCTTGTAAAAGGTCTTATTCCTGTCTGTACTGGCATACTGTGGAAGTTATAGAAATTGTGTTATTTAAGCCTCTATCAGTATTATAGTTGTGTTCATACTGCTCAACAGTGAACAAAGAAAGGCAGGGTAATTTCAATAACCTGAGATATTATCACTGGTACAAGGAGAGGCAAGTGAGGTAGCATCATAAATACATATGACCTCGTCAACTTTGAGCCAATCATCCTTACTTTTCTCTTTATATATTTGATAGCAGTGAAAGTTTTTTTTTATTGTAGAAACGTAACAGGAAAATTCTAGATAGGATGATCTGCCATATTGGAAACATATGTTTGATCTAAAATTGTTTGAAATGACATTGGCAATAAATATCAAGTAAGATATGTGTTACTGCCAGGTGCTGGTGGCTCATGCCTATAATCCAAGCTACTCAAGAGGCTGAGATCTGAAGATCATGGTTCAAAGCCAACCCCAGGCAAGAAAATCCATGAAACAGGGCCCTGGGTTCAATTCCTCAGCACCATATAAGCAGAAAAAGCCGGAAGTGGTGCTGTGGCTTGAGTGGTAGAGTGCTCACCTTGTGCTGAAGAGCTGAGCAACAGAGTTCAGGCCCCAAGGCCAGCCAAAAAAAAATCCATGAAACTCTGATCTCGAATTAACTATAAAAAAGCCAGAATGGAGCTGTGGCTCAAGTGGTAGAGCACCAGCCTTGAGCACAAAAGCTTAGGGACAGTGCCCATGCCCAAATGTTAAGTCCCAGGACCTACACACACACACACACAGACACACACACACACCAGGACCTCCACATACACAAACACACACATTAACACTCACACTCACAAACAATATGTAGCTGGACTTCAACTGGGTTCATTCTAACTACTCAGGCCTTATTTAGACTTATTTTTAAAGCACAATGACGTAGGAGCAGTTGGGAGAGAATGCAATATAAGAAAACCTTACCCCATTTTAATCTCTCACACTCTCATTTTATTTTATTTTCTGAATTTCAAAAAGTTGTACAAGGGGACAATTTAACATGTCCATCTAAGTGTCCAGCGCTTCTTTCCATCCTTCTTCCCCATCCCATCAATTCCTTCCCCAAAGATTCCTTTCATGTTTTCTGCTTTGTTTATCACATATGTACATTGAGTACTCTTGCTGTATTTGTCCCCTGTTCCCTTTTCATTCATCTACCCTCTTACATTATCTACCCCTTACTATCAATCTCATTTCAGCTTCTGGTATTCATTTAGTTAAACTTTTTGTTAACCATTTGAAAGGTTTACTCCATGAAGTTTCCCTCCTATATGTGCTATATGTTGTCAAATAATGTATGTAGCCAGGCGCCGGTGGCTCACACCTGTAAACCTAGCTACTCAAGAGGCTGAGATCTGAGGATCAAGGTTCAAAGCCAGCCCAGGCAGGAAATTCTGCGAGACACTTGTCTCCAATTAACTACACAAAAGCTACAAGTAGAGCTGTGGCTCAAGGGTAGAACACCAGCTTTAAGCAGGAAAAGCTAAGGGACAGTGCCAGGCCCTGAGTTCAAATAAATGTGGTTTTTTTGTAAGTGTGAAACAGGATTATTTGCTTTTGTCTGCAGCATATTTCCTCATTACTAATTCACTTAGCACAGGCACTTAGCCCCACATCCACATAAATTCTTAGCTGCTTTGAAAATAGTCTCAATTGGGAATTTTTTGTTGTTGGTAGTAGTGGTGGGAGCTTGAACTCAGGGCCTGGGCTGTGTCCCTAAGCTTATTCACTCAAGGCTGGCACTCTATCATTTTGAGCCACAGCACCATGTCCAGTTTTCTGGTGTTTAATTGGAGATAAGAGTCTCACAGACCCTCCTGCCTGGGCTGGCTTTGAACTGCAATGTTCAGATTTCAGCGTCTGAGTAGCTAGGATTACAGGCATGAGCCACCAGCACCTTTGGGAATTTGAGAAGCAAAAATGCTTTGATTTCACACATGATTTTATTTAGAGATTTCCTCAAACTGAATTATTAAATTTTCCATCTATCATAATGATCATTACAGGAAAATGAAAACTTCAGGTCCTAAGCCCAAGCCTATATATAATAGAAGAAGAAAAAGACGTGTTAATTTTGTACAGAATTACATGCCAATTGAAGAAAGGTAATAATAGTTTCTATATTTATTTTGTGCCATGTCTCATTAAGTATTACGGTAGAATATTATCTTATTAGATGGAGAGAAATCAGGACCCGAAGCAGACTTGTTTAGAAACACAGTTTAACTCTGTAGGATTGATTTGTGAAAAGATTGGGGCATTAGTTTAGCAAACTGAGTATTGTGACAATATGTTACACAAGCAAAAGCTTTTAAAAAGTGGATGCTGGTGGTGCATGCCTGTTATCCTAGTTACTCAAGAAGCTGAGACCTGGATGACAGGAGTTTGAAGCCAGCCTGGGCAGAAACATTTGAGAGACTCCATCTCCAGTTGACCAGACTGGAGTCATAGCTCATGTGATAGAGTACCAACTGTGAACACATTCCAAACAAGACCTCAATGCACTAAGTTCAAGCCCTAGTGCCAGCACATGCATGCGCACACACATACACACAACCAAAAAAAGCAACCAAAACACTATTTTAGAGAGAGAATTTTGTGTATGTGTGCCAGCACTAGGGCTTGAACTCAGGATAAGGGTGCTGTCCTTTAGCTTTTTCTGCTCAAAGCTAGCTCTCTACCACTTGAGCTACAACTATACATCTGGCTTTCTTTTTGAGTGCGGGGATGGTTAATTGGAGATAAAAGTCTCACATACTTTTCTGCCCAGGCTGGCTTTGAATCACAATCAAATCTCAGCATCCTGAGTAGCTAGGATTACAAGCATGAGCTACCAGCATCCAGCTATAGAGAGATATTTTTAGAGTGATAATAATCAAGACTACAATATTTTTAAATTATTTTTAATGATTTTACTTTTTAATTCTTTGGCATAGCTAGATGTCAGAAAGTGTATATATATATGTATATATATTCACTTGTGTGTGTGTGTGTGTGTGTATATATATATATATATATATTATATTCACACTTCTAAAAAACTTCCAAAGTGTTTTCTCATTCACTATTTAATAGCATCTTTATTTTGAAAGTTTGCATTGTAAAATATGTCAAAAATGCATTTAAAATTTTTTTGGGCCAGTCGGTCCTAGGGCTAGAACTCAGGGCTTTTTTGTGCTGCTTCTGGGCTTTTTTTTTGAGGGGGGGGGTTGGTCATGGGGCCTGAACTCTGGGCCTGGGCGCTATCCCTCAGCTCTTCAGTTCAAGGCTAGCACTCTACCACTTGAGCCACAGCACCACTTCCGGCTTTTTTCTTTTTGCTTATGTGGTGCTGAGGAAACGAACCCAGGGCCCCAGGCATGCAAGGCAAGCGCTCTACCACTGAGCCAACTTCCCAGCCCTGGGCTTTTTTTTGTTTTTTTTTTCTTTCCTCAAGTCTAGTGCTCTACCACTTGAACCAGAGTTCCACTTCTGACTTATTGCTAGTAAGTGGAGATAAGAGTCTTACAGACTTTTATGACTGACTGGTGCCTGGCTCTCTAAAATACATTCTTAGAGCTAATCAATAGGAACATTTGTTTTGTTTCTAAAACTAGAGCTGGAAAAATCCCAGTTTTAAAAAGTGAGCTAAATATCTTCTTCCTTAATTACTTGAGACAGACACTGGTTGAATTAGTATACAAGGAATTAAAAAAAAATCAGTATTATAAAAAACAGGACCAAGCCAGACATTTGTGGCTCACACCTGTAATCCTAGCTACTCAGGAGGCTGAGATCTGAGGATCCTGGTTTGAAGCCAGCTTGGGCAGGAAAATCTGTGAGACTCTTACATACAGTTAACTAGTAAGAAGCCAGAAATGGGGATGTGGCTCAAATGATAGAAAGCTGGCCTAGAGCAGAAACAGCCAAGTGACAGCAAGAGTTTGTCCCCGAACAAGCACACATAAAAAAGTGGTTCTAACAGCAATGCAAATGGGGAGCAACTTCCTCTGGTATTAATATTAAATACCGCCAGGTACCAGTAACTCACACCTAGCTACTCAGGAGGCTGAAGTTTGAGGATTGCGTTTCAAAGCCAGCCCAGGCAGGAAAGTCCATGATACTCTTATCTCCAAATTAGCTACCAGAAAACAGGAAGTGGGGCTGTGGCTCAAACTGAGTGCTAGCCTTGAGCAAAAAGCTCAGGGACAGCATCCAGGCCTTGAGTTCAAGCCCCACAACCAAAATATCAGTATTAAATATAGCAAGACTTATAATATAAAGGTTTGAGTCCTAGATGTCTTTGGAGCCCTGGGAGAAGCCTTATTCTAGGTCAGTGTGTGACTCCACAGACATCTGTCATGTTGTGTGAAATTGGAGCCATACAAGATGACTGGGAGGGTTGCTTCTGCCATAGCTTTGCAGAAATCATCAATATAAACAATGTTCTTTTGCTCCTGGGACTGTTAGGTTATGGCTTCTTGTACTTTCATTGTGCATAGTGCTGGTTTCCAAGTCCTAACTGGTATCCTGCTTTACCTCCATAGACAAACAGAATCTTACTTCTGCTTCAATCCACTCAAACTCTGTGCTATGTTGTTGGGCGGACACTCCGGAACTACATTTGCAACTACTATTTGGTAAACCTTAATAGCAGTCAACTAAAAAGCTTTCCTCTTTAGTTTACAATATTTCTTACAATATTTACAATCTAGCCTCCTTGAGGCTCTGGATTTGATCCCCAGCCCCAAAGAAAATAATTCTAATTATTATTAGTTTTGTTTTTGTTGGTTGTGGACCTTGAACTCTGCGCCTAGGCACTGTCCCTCAGCTCTTCAGCTCACGGCGAGTACTCTACCACTTGAGCCACAGTGCCACTCCACTTTTCTGGTGGTTAATTGGAGTTGAGTCTCAAGGATTTTCCTGCCCAAGCTGGCTTTGAAGCACAATCCTCAGATCTCAGCCTTCTGAGCCTGGCACCTGGCTGAATTATAATTATTTTAATAACCCCCAAAGCCCTCTCTAGACATGGATAAATCTCAGCTAACACCTTTGAAAATGCATGAACTTCCTATATTATCCTAGCTTCTCTTTGAGGCAAGTTCCCATATGTACATAAAAATTTCACTAAGAGGTCTACACCATAAATGACCTTTGATTAAGTACTTTAATTAAGGGAATATGCAAAAAAGTGAGAATTAAATCGATGTAGTATGTATCATGTATGTTTATTGTGTGAGTTAGTCTGTTAACATCATTTAACTGAAAAGTATCATCAGAAATTAGCAGCAGGGGCTGGGAATGTGGCTTAGTGGTAGAGTGCTTGCCTAACATGCATGAGGCCCTGGGTTAGAGTCCTTGGTACTACATAAACAATAAAATATTTTTTTTAAAAAAGCAGCAAAGGGAGAACACAGAAATGGTGGGACAAAGGGTGAACTAATTGAGCAGTGATCCTCACTAGATACTATGTTGAAAATGAACTATACAACTTGTGAGGGAGGGGGACTGCAGAGGAAAAATTGGGAGAAACAAGAAAAGAGATGACACTTCAAAAAGAAATGATTTTACTACCTGACATATAACTGTAATCCCTATGTACATCACCTTTATAATAAAAATATTTTTAAAGTTAGCAGCAAATTCCAAATGATTCAGTGCTATGGCTATTTCCTGGCCCTACTGTACTTCTTTATATGTTTAATATTTGATCATTTCAGACTGTAGGCATATATAAGGCCAGAAAAATCATTTGGTATATGATGGAACAGACATATATCTGCCTGTATTTTATAATTATGAATGCCCTTGAATCAAGTTATCCAGTGGCCCTTGACAGAAGAAATAATCCCCATTCCTGCCATCCATCCATTTTTCTTCTTACCCCTTTCACATCTCTGAAAAGTAAGTTGTTCTCCTTTTTTTTTCTGTTGATTGTGGGGCCTGAACTCTGGGCCTGGGCGCTGTCCTTCAGCTCTTCAGCTCAAGGCTAGCGCTCTACCACTTGAGCCACAGCACCACTTCCAGTTTTCTGGTGGTTAATTGAGGATAAGAG